TTTAGGCTGGAGAGCTGTATTATTTCTCTTGTTAATGAAGTAAATCCCAGTGGCTACGCTTCAACTAGAGGAGGAAAGTGCATTGCAGTGTCTTAATACTGTCCCAAACACCTAACAGATAGGTTATCAGGGTGGTCTTCTGCATGTGGCAGATGCAGGGCTGAGGTACTAAACTGAAGCTCTACCACCATCTCAGAACTACTGTTTAAAAGGGGGTTGAGGAGCAGCTTCTCTGCCAGCTGTGTTTGAAAAGAAAAGGAGCAGACCTTTTCCTGCTTCAGTGACACTTTTGAAAGGCATCTTTTGCAAGGACCCGTAACCCTATGATCACCATTTACATATTCATTTGATACAGGTCTCTTTCTGCCTGTAGTGCCAGACTGTATGAGGGCCCATTCTCTCTTCACAGACTCATGTTAAGAGGGTCTTCACTCAGCATAGTGGCTGCCACCAACTTCATTTAGAGGTTCCCAAATCCCCTTGTAGGAAGCGTAACTCCAAGCATCTGATTCTGCTCTGTGAGCCAGGCATCTAAGAATGAAGCACTGCAACACCCAATTACTTTAGAAATTCAAGCCTTCAAGCCTCTCAGCTGACTTCTACTTTCATGCATGGAGGCTAATGTTGCAGATCCCATGTATAGGATTTTTTTTTACTAATTCTGTAAGAAAATCTGCAGTGCTACAACTGGAAATCTAACGGCTTTTTTCAAATAGTGCTGGAAACACAAAGAGGACTTCCGGCTTTGTGCTATGAATGACCATTATTTTACTTGGTGAACAGTGGCAAATTATTTGCACAGTAAAGAACATGTAATTACAAAGTACAAACAGTAACTGATTATTATGATTATTTCAATCCCCTACAGTGAAGAGTAGATGGTAATTAATTTCTGGACCTACCAGGCTAAATATAATTACTAGAAACCACAGCAACTGTAGGCATATGCTGGTAAAACAGAATGTAATTACAAAGTACAAACAGTAACTGATTATTATGATTATTTCAATCCCCTACAGTGAAGAGTAGATGGTAATTAATTTCTGGACCTACCAGGCTAAATATAATTACTAGAAACCACAGCAACTGTAGGCATATGCTGGTAAAACAGAGTTAGATGTTACTGTATTTGTTTATTACCCAACACTTTATCCATAATTAAATGCTACAAGTGAAACAGAAAAAACATTTCAAAAGAACTTCTAAAAGCCATAGATTAAAAACATGGCTAAAAAGTTACGAATTTTAGCATTTGTACAGTATTATTAATTGCACATTCTCTGTTATGCTTATTCAAACTTTAACTGCAGTAACTGCCAGGGAATCAAAAACTTCCTTTACACGATTTGCTGCCTGTGCATTTATGTGGTATTTAATACCACATATTAATTTAATATCACCCTAATTTTGTATTGATTAGAATCTTGGGACACAAGCCTAATTCCCTAGTCTCACTTTGGGGTCTACTGCTTTGAAGAATTTGTGTTCCTTCCAACATGCCTTGCTTGTGAATTAGCTCATTGTATGAAACATCTTGTCTTCCAGAATAAGGTTTTTGGGAGGGGATGGGTGGAAAGGTTGCAGATTAGCCTTATTTTTACTCTCACAGTCAAACTCAAATTATACCTGTATATGAAAATATCTCTGAGCTCTCTGGAACTCTATCTTCGTGCTCTGGCTATGCAAACCCACCAAGACCAGGCTTTCTCCAACGCATCAGTCAATGTCTTTGTTCTGTTTCAGAAGAGGGAAGGGCATCTACAAGAACTTTTGAAGTAGTTTTCAGCAGATACAACTTTAGAAGCAGATACTCCAGAGAAGTCTGGAGAAAGATGAGCAGCATGAGTTTCCCCTTTTTTGTGAGGAAACAAGCTCTGTGGGATTCCCACGAATTCTGAGGTGGCTGTTTGCAGCAAATTGACAAACAGCTGTTAAGGGCATCAAACTGAGCAAAACACTTGACTGATGAGAAAGAATACAAAATGGCACCTGTTGGATGTGCCCTCTGCATGTATCTTGTACTTACCTGCTTGATTTTTGCACTTGAGCTAGCTATTGTCTCTGAAGTGCTAAAAGAGGCAAAGGCATGACTCAAACACCATGGTAATTAAATTCTCATTGTAAAATCATCATCATTTTCTTGGTGGTAAAGCAGGGAAAACAGACCCTGCTTTATTTTCAGGTTTTAGTCTTAGTTGGTTTAAATAGAGCAAAGGAGATACGGGGTAGCTCTGATGCAGCAGTGTCCTGGTTTCAGCTAAGATAGAGTTAATTCTCTTCCTAGTAGCTGGTACAGTGCTGCGTTTTGGATTTAGGATGAGAATAATGTTGATAACACACCAATGTTTTAGTTGTTGCTAGGTAGTGCTTACACTAGCCAAGGACCTTCTAGTTTTCCATGCTCTACCAACTGAGAAGGCTGGAGGTGCACAAGAAGCTGGGAGGGGGCACAGCCAGGACAGCTGACCCAAACTGCCCAAAGGGATATTCCATACCACGTGACGTCATACTCAGTACATAAACTGAGGGAAAGCTGGCCGGGGGGGCCGCTGCTCAGGGACTGGCTGGGCATCGGTCGGCAGGTGGTGAGCAATTACATCGTGCATCACTTGCTTTGTATATTATTATTATTATTATTATTATTATTATTATTACTATTTTACTTTATTTTATTTCAATTATTAAACTGTTCTTATCTCAATCCACGAGTTTTCTCACTTTTGCTCTTCTGATTCTCTCCCCCATCCCACCGGGGCAAGGGGGAGTGAGCGAGCGGCTGTGTGGTGCTCAGTTGCTGACTGAGGTTAAACCACAAGCAAGAATCTGAACGTTCCTCAGAGAACATTGACAGACCCCTACAAACGTTGTTACTGTGAAACACAAGTTGATTTTATGTCTACCGAGGTGCTATTACTAGTAGCCTTTGCAATGTCTTTTCAATGTAAGTAGATATGAAATGAGTCTGCTCATACATTAGTTACGTTCAGTATGTGAGACTGCTCTGAGAATAGCAACTGGTAAATTCTGGGGTGGGGAACTGAACAAATCCTATAATCTTAAGAAATAAATAAAAACATGTCTCTGTCTTTTTTGCAAGTTGTACCCCTCTTTATCAGCTGACTGTCAATCTGTATTCTTTAATTACATTATTTCTTGCAGCTGTTTTTCAAAACTGTGCAGTTCCTTTGGAGAAATGCACTGCTTTAGCTTAGTAGCTGTTCTCTTCCTCTGCCCTGCTGTGATGCTTTTATCATAATACTCATCATATGCTGGCAGACACAATCTTGTGCTCCCAAGAATGGCCCCATAGAAAGGCTAAGATGAGTCTTCAGATGGATCCTTAAATTTAGCCCTTTCCTCTCTTGCTATTCTTGGTAAAGCAACAAGCTTTTTGTTTTGTTTTGTTTTGTTTTCCTGATGTCTCCTTCTTCAGTCCTGTTGGAAAGGATGAAGACACAGGGTAGGAGAAAGCTTTGCAGGGTGACAGCTTTTTAACACTGCATAATCTACTGCTGTGCATGCTAATAGATGGTGTTAGGTTTGATTAACTAATTTTGCAAATGAATATCTAAGTAAATTACTTCTGCAGATCGTTTCCAATGATTCTTTCTCTTTAATCTCCTCTTTGAATAGTTTCATACTGATTGTTGCTGCTGACAATAAGAATTTATATAAAACCCTGGGGTATATATTTCATAGTAAATATATCTGGTATCATCTTACACAAGAAAACCATCCCCCTCACACACATCTTATTTAAAGGTACATAGTCACAGTTTCAAGATAATTTTTTTTCAGAAGTTTTGAAGCCATATAGAAATGCAGTTTCCATTAATGCTCAGATCATGGCTGGTTTTAAAAGACACTCAGATACTTCTGCAACTGGGTATGCCTGTAAAGGATTTTCAAAGATTACGAAGGCAGACAGACATATTGTAATTGCAAACAAACACCTGATTGGCCCAAGGTGTCTTTGAAAAATCCTACATGCCTATATGTCTATAGAGATCTGATCCTTTTGCAGAGCTAATACAAGATTGGGACTAAAAATGTAAGACTCTTTCTCTTCTCTTTTTCTTTGTTACTTGAAAGTAAAATATTTTCCTTTAAAACAAAATATCATGTGATGTACTTGCGCAAATACTTCTACACCCACATTCCACATAATCAGAAAATCCATCATACTTTCTCAGGAAGTCGTGGTCTTAACCTATACTCTGTACTTATCTGATTGTCCATAGATCATTACATACTTAAATATTTGTATTTTCAGTAATTTAACGTTTCTTAGACACTTGCCTTTAAAAGATAAACTTCATACACCATCCATGGCCTGTGTTCCCTTGCCACAGCTGAGCAAACCTGTGTCTGGACAGCCTAACTTATATATTTGCTGTGAAACCACTACAGTGCTGCTAATGCTCAACACATCAGCTATCATATTATCCCCTGTCTGAAACGTTACATGAGCTTTTCCATGTATTCCTGAATCACATTGATTTCCAAGTCTTCACCCTTAAGTACTTCATAACATTTCCCTCAAAAACATTGTTTCGACTCCTTTCTTACTTCTCAGTCCTTCTGCCTCTAACCTCTCTCACTTCTTTAATCACTTAGCACCCTCTTGTCTTGCCCCGACAGAGGCTCCATGTTTGTCTGCCAATGCAGTGTTCGCTCATCTTTCTTCTTTTAATCCCCTCCTTAAAACCCATCTTCTTACCTTCTAGCATTTAATTATCTGACAGAAATTTATCAGGAGTGGCCAGAGCCTACCTAGGTGTCCCCTCCACCCGCTCATACACGCAAAGTCAAATAATTCAAGTAATTCATTCTGAAGCCCCAGAGACATTTTTAAATAACAGCCAGCGACCTCTGATTCCTCCCATATCACTCCGCAGAACGGGGCACTGCGGATGGGGGCGGGCAGGAGAGGAAGAGCATGCCAGCTGTATTGCCTCTGAGTAGGAGAAATGGGAAATACACGTTTCAGTTCCACTTACCGGTTCCTATTGCTAGAAATCCAATCCGAGATTAACGTTGCAGCCTGCTGGTGACAGTGTTTGTTACCGAAGCTGCAGGCCAACATGATGACTTCCCGACGCAACTCTCTGTCCAAATTAAAAAAAGCAATAAGGCTGCATTAATAAATGTGTTGGAATGTTTACAACAAGTTATTTCTCATAACAGTGGCAGCAGCTGATAGTTGGGCAACATATCAAAGATAAACTAGCTATACAAATCTCAGTGTCAACTTAATGCCTACAGCTGCTGCCACAACTAAAGAAAGGCTGTGAACCAAAACCAGCCCCTATTTACACTTATGCACTCTTCCTGATCTCTGTGGTCACATTAGTCCAAGTTCTTAAATATCCAGTGCAGTCAAATTGTAAATTAAGGCTTAGGAAATCATGTTCTCCAAACTCAGGAAAGAGGAATTCATCTCACAGCATCTTCCTCCTCTCCCTCTAACCCAGAAAGGAAAAACAGAAGGAAGACAAAACTAGGAAAGTATGACATGCTAAAGATGAAACCAAATTTTAGGAGAGTGCATTATTACAACTATATCCTGCAAACAAACAATAATGAAAAAAATAAATAACAGTACTCATGTTGGTAGGATGCTTGAACAAGCGATTTGTTTAAATTATTCACTGGCCATCCAAGCTTGAGATACATTGATGCAACTTGTCTTAAAATATACTCCTGAGGGGGAAAAGAAAAATATATTCAGTGTTAACTTATTTTTTATTTGAAATTGAAATACTATTGACTACTGAGGTTTTGTCTCTCTTATTTACCCTCAAATAATGTCCTACTTTCCAAAGATTTTGATTTGCATTTAGCAAAGCAACATGTCCACATATAATCCTCCTTCACTGCTATAGTGAGAAGTAATCTATAGAACAGCTATTTGATTAGATGCCTAGGATAAGACAATTTATTGTTATACAGCTCATCAATTTAAGAAGAGTTTCTTACATGCTATTTTGAACTCACAATACATGGCTGAAAAGTTGCAAGAGTGTCAACAGCTTAATTTCTACTCTATGGCCAATCTCAACTACACCGTGCATGTTCACTTTTAAAAGAATATTATTTTAATATCCATAGCTATGGCAAAAAAGTCACGTAAGTACAGTCAATTGACTTCAGAATACCAAACAACGTGGCTGCAAACGAGCTTTGTACATTTAATGACACTATGTTTTAAGTTCAGGTTCTTGGTGTGCTTAAAGAACAAAACAAGCCCAAGATACATTTTAACTTACTTTTACTTTTTACACAGGAGACATATTTACATATTCTGGCCAGTTGTGAAGAAAACCACTGTCATTGTATTCAGCATCATCTTTTGCCAGTGGAATTTACCAAATTGAAAAAGAGAACTGAGAAATGAAGAACCGCATAGGAGAGCATCTATTATATTATTGTGGATGCACGGGCATGTATCTATGATGTCAACACAAAAGGAGATTCATAGTGCAGCTTTCTCTAGCAGTTGTGTTATTCTGTGACTAAAAAGACTTTTTATTTCCTCTGCTACAACCTCTGCTTTCAAAGCTCTCATCAGTAGTGATAAAACACAACCCAGCCATGAATTTTACTGGTTTTATTTATTAAAATTGTGTTTTCTTTACACAGCCATGTTTAAAAGTGAAATAGCAATGGCAGACTCATAAGAATTTTTCTGTGCCGTTAACAACAGACTAAACATGCAAGTTATTTCCATGTCATTTTACATTATGGCTCTGGTTTGCATATAGGCCCACGTTGCAGGTTCATAAAGAAAGAATCTCGATGTGTCTTTATTAATCTGTAGTATCTGTTCTATAAAAATAATTTTCCATGTCAGCAGGTCGCTCTGTGTATGTGTGTGTGTGTGTGTATATATATGTATTTCTACATATATACATACATCCAGGCACCTCTAGCTTCCTGCTTTCTGAGCATGTGTCTCTGGACACACACACACAAGCAAATATATGCTTAAGAAGAAAAAAGCACCTTTAAGCATTTCAGGCTCTAGAGAGTTCCTTCATTTGAAGGCTTTACAAAATTACATAAAATTACAGTATGTTGGCCATTGAAAATATGTAGACTATATAAAATTCATATTGAATAAAATACCACAAGAGTTCATAATTGTCACTGGCTGCAATCAAATCCTGTGTACTTCATCAAACATGCTTCAGCGTAGCTAGGATTTTTTTTTTTTTATTTCAGGTAAAATGTTAAAATGTTTGTCATGTCTATCTTAATTATCTACTGCTAGCTGTTACTGCTGTCCCTTCGGACCCAATTATGAATGGGCTTTTGATTCAATGGCGATCTAATCCTTGTTAATTAAGGTAACTGCATTGAATTCACCATGGCTTTTTGGATGAGATAATGACTACAAATCTTTACTTCAGTTGCATGCATCCTGTTCAGTTGTGCCTGCGTTTGGTGTCCTTGCTGAGCTTGGGCATCAATCTAAATATTGCCGTGGGGCTCCTCAGAAGAGAAAATCTAGAAATAGATTACTTTGGCTCTCTTAAGTGAAATACTTTATTTGTCATAAGATTTTATAGGGGGGATAATTACCTTTCCTTCTACTAATCATATATGCCTTAAACAACAGTTATCACTGTTCAAATGCAAATGAACCAAAGCTTGACAATTGCTATGTTTAAATAAAGAATAATTAGGAAGAAAGCTAATATGCCTAGGTCATTTACAGTATCTGACTGGGGAATAGTTCAACTTTTGGCAATGAAAGGAGGGGGGGGCGGTGAGAGGGAGAGAGGGAGGATGGACTGAAGGAAGGGGGTGGAGGAGGAGGAGAGAGAGAAAGAAAGGAAAGAAAGAGGGAAGGGAAGGGAAGGGAAGGGAAGGGAAGGGAAGGGAAGGGAAGGGAAGGGAAGGGAAGGGAAGGGAAGGGAAGGGAAGGGAAGGGAAGGGAAGGGAAGGGAAGGGAAGGGAAGGGAAGGGAAGGGAAGGGAAGGGAAGGGAAGGGAAGGGAAGGGAAGGGAAGGGAAGGGAAGGGAAGGGAAGGGAAGGGAAGGGAAGGGAAGGGAAGGGAAGGGAAGGGAAGGGAAGGGAAGGGAAGGGAAGGGAAGGGAAGGGAAGGGAAGGGAAGGGAAGGGAAGGGAAGGGAAGGGAAGGGAAGGGAAGGGAAGGGAAGGGAAGGGAAGGGAAGGGAAGGGAAGGGAAGGGAAGGGAAGGGAAGGGAAGGGAAGGGAAGGGAAGGGAAGGGAAGGGAAGGGAAGGGAAGGGAAGGGAAGGGAAGGGAAGGGAAGGGAAGGGAAGGGAAGGGAAGGGGAAGACTGTATGTCTTACATTGAAGATGTTGTAGTTTTCCGTGCGGTCCAGCAATTTATCTAGAGGATAAAGAGCTCGGCTGGCAGCATGCCAAGGCAGAAAATCCTTCTCCTCTGAAAGGTATCTGATAATCTCCAAAGGAATATTCTGAGGCAAATAACCAGCTCTGCAAAATAAAAGAAGTTAGTATTACATTGTTTTTGCAGAAGACACATGATGAGGCAAAAATTACTTCTTTTTTTCCAAATGAAATTAAAAGGCAGGAAAACATGATAAACTCATCACATTATAATGACGTAAAAGTCAACCTTATAAAAAACAGCAACTCACAGTCTCTCCCAACACATGTGCAAGCACACTTACGGATGAAGGAAGGCATGAAGACACATGAAAGAAAACTAGACAAGCTATACCTACTTTTATGGATTCCTGTGGCTATAAAAGACATGAACAATGACGTAACTGACTTTAAGCAAAAAAACAAAAGGAAGATGCTGCTTTGTTGATTTGTAAGATAGAAAGCTGTCTGCAGAGAACATTTCTACTGTCCATGGAAAATTGGGAAGAACTAACGGAGGAGAAGCATCCTTTAGTTTCACAGTTCTCCTCCCTACTCTTTTCTCTCTCCTGTAGAGCTGCCTTGTCTTCTACCCACCTTAAGCCATTTTGGCATTACTTGTTCTATTAAACTGAAGTGGAATTCAGTGACATCACTTTGGTTAAGGATGTTTCACTACTTTCCACACAAACTATGACTTTTTCAGGTATTTATAAAGCAATCAGCTAGAATTTTGCCCCATTCTTTTACAGTCATAAAAGACCTCTCCCTGCAAGGGAGAGTTTAGCAGGGTTTCAGGAAGGCTTTTTAAATTAATAGCTTTACAAGTAAAGCGCAACACAGTCACAAGCATCTGAAAGCTGCTTTTTAAAACTGAGTACTGGAAACACCAAGCTTTAGGATTTGCTCTCATTTTCTTTTTCAGAACAGCATTTTTTCTTAGCTATCCAGACTGCAGAAACGAAGTGTAACCCTGTGGGTGTGAACCAGAAACACACAGGTCTGTTCTTCTCCTGATGCATGTGTTTAAATCCCAGAGGAGTTCTCTACCTGCCTAGAGAGGAGATAATTATTCTGTTTTCATTAAACACTTAAAGTCAGCAAGCCGGATTCCACAAGCTTCAATTTAACATAGGTTACAGTATGACGCATCTTTATAGACTATTTTTCCTCCTTGTTGGTTGCAAATGTTCCCCTTAATTTCCATCACTGTCTGGGGAAGAGATGCATGCATACAGCAAATAAAGAAAATTACACAGATTATTATGGAAATGAACCAATACATACATGTTGATATAAATGTTGACCTCAGTTGTAACAGCATATAAAACTGACTTTGTTAAAATATTTGAAATAGATTGTTCTTGGTATGGTCCAAAACCATAGTTTCCTGCAAGGTGCACTACATCCATGCAAGCCTTTGTTTTTCACACTCTCTATTGGAAGAATGACACCCTGTTCCCTTCATGTTCTCGGGAAAGAAGTGAGTTCATGTAGCAGCTTTCAAAAGTATCTATCCCATGTCCTTATGATGACCCACTCTCCAGTCTGGTTCATGTCATCTTTGTCCCCATTTTGTCAACAAGGCTCTGTTCTCAATTCCAGTTACAGCACATAGTCAAGCAAGAAAAACAAGATCACTTGGAGAGCTCACTGTGTCACTCAGGAACTGAGCAGATATGAAATGAGAATGGTGGTGCTCTTAGAGTGGGTGGCGGACAGAGTTCAATGCATCTGAAGACAGAGAAAGTAAGCTAACTATAAATTACTCCATTTTGTAGGTCTTTCTTATTTCTGAAGCAGCAGAATATCATCAAGACAAGTTCTAGGTCTTAATACTTTGTAAAGATGTGCAACCATAATTAATGGAGCCAGAAGCAGGCTGGATTGACTGCAGTCAAAAATCTTGGAGATAACGTTTAGCAAAGAGGTAAACTAGTTTGAAGTTGCATATATGTAATTAGTTCCCAGTGGGATTTGTGATTATTGTTACTGATAATTTGATTGACAAGAGAAAGTGTGGAATAAGGAACAACAGGAATAGCTCTAGGAAACATGCTGCTTAAGGAATAAACAGACAAATGTTTATTATAGCTGCACTAATGGACATTTAGGATCATGCTTCTGAAATTAAACATCTCTATGCTATGCACAACAGGGAAATCATCACTGCAAAACAAACAGATTATTTCTTTTTAAGCTTAACTTCTCCATAAAGGCACATAAGAAGTGAACTCAGAGAGATCTGTCACTTATTCCTGAGCTTTCGGCCTTCCTAATCAGTTTCAAAATCATGATTCTTAGCTGATGATACTCATCCTGTTCACAACAGAAACTGTTACTCTCATCACTCACTGCTTCTAACTTCCAAATTTATCAGCCCATTCAATTCTGCCTGCCTCTCCCCCATCCCCCACTTTTCCTAATGTTTCCCTAAGAGTATATTCCTTCTCACAAAAACAGATTGTGGCAAAGTCTGAGTTTTTCCTGTTTACTCCTGAACTTCCTTCTCTTTCTGGGTATCACCCTTGAAGAGCTTATGCACAGTATCATCAAAATCAACCCTCCACATCAACAGGATCAGTCCCGAGGGCAGGTCCTTGTGGATGACATTATTATATAAACAACAACAAATTCATCACTTCAGATCACGATTTTGAGGGAAAGCGGTTATGGCTGCTACGATCAATGTTAAACTCTCTGTCAGCACCTGTTGGCAGATGTGCTTCAAGTACAGCTGTTAGGCTGGACCTCTGAGGGAACTTGAGCAGAGACATATCTAAAACCCTTTCACAGTGGCAGTTAAGATAGGAGCACTTCCCTGAAGAAAACAGAAGTGCTTCAGGAACTTTGTCTTGGCAGAATGTTCTATATATTCTACACTATCTTATCCTATGGATTCCGACAGAAAACCATGATAGCCCTATTCTTTCACCCTCAGCCACCAAGTCATGTTTATGAACCTCTTATTCCAAATACACTGCACTCCCAGACTATTTGCCATTAAATAGTTTCTGTCAAGAGATAGTGATAAATACATTCATTGTTTTACCTTTTTGTGTAGAATGTGGTATATAACATATATGTTATAAAATATTAAATGTATACTACAGCTTAAAAAGCCTGAGGAATATTTTCATTCACAAAGAAAGGGAAGAGTTTGATAATGGTAATGCCAAATACTAAGATTGCTAATTTTTGGTATTTGTAGCTGAGAAAACAAGATATAAGGAGAAGCTCTCATCCTAAACCATAAAAGAGATAAACCATGAACCATAAAACCACGTACAGATAAAAAGTCCTAAAACCCAGATCACAGATCTAGGAGCTGTATGAATTGTCCTGGGAGGTAGCATGACTATCATGACAACCAGGTCAGCAGAAGACAGAAACTAGCCAAAGCAGCGTGTCTGTGTGGTGAGCTACGCTGTAGTATTCTGCATCTTCACAAAGCACAGCAGCTGGTTTCTTAAGCTTTGTATTTTAGTACAACCGTATTCTTTTACTTTACACTAAAAGTTTGTCCAGCGCTGAGTGATTTCAAGACTCCTCTTTCCCAGGGGATACCGCATCCAGCAAGATGTACTGGCTCACTTGAACAGTGGCAAACTCACTCACCAGCCAAGGGGTGCTGGCATGCTTCTAGGATTCTCCTTCACTAGCCTGGAAGAACTAGGTTCAAAGATGGTTACACGGGATCTGGTCAGCAAAAGCAAAATTTTGCATCCAGCAAAGTAGGAAGGAATGGTCAAAGACTCATAAGTGTCACAGGACTTGTGACAAACATACATCACCAGCTGGTGACAACTGCTAATTGAAATCACTTGCTTCATTGATGGAGCAGGATAATAACCAAGATGAGGAAAGAAGGCAGAACAAAGAATGAGTCTGTTCTGAATATCTCTGTAAACTCTGATGGAAAAACACAGACCTGCAGAAATGTTAAACAGAAATGTTTAACAATTGTCATTACAATAATAAGAAAAGTAACAGTAACAACCTTCCCATCAAAGGGAAAAATGTAAAATAATTTCCCTGTCATATAATGGTCTGATAATATTTATTCAAAGGCACTATAGAACATAACATGTTAAGTACATACTCTACACACACAGCTTGATTTATCACTCTCTCTTCCAACAATGTCATTGGAAGATCAGTGACAGAAATCCTTATTTTTCTTGTGTCTTTTTAGCCATCAATCATATTGGTATCCTTAAAGTCCAGCAAAACTGCTATCAGATATTGCCTGCCAAAGTCCAAATGCATGAGAGCCAGGGCTAAGAGACAAAGTTCTTTTCCAACTTAGCCACCTCAGAGGAAAATTGAAATATTGTCTGTCACTCAGGAAATAACTGATTATGGGCTATACTGAAAGCAGGTAACAAACATAAACACCACAGAAACACTGTGATGTCCAATCTTATATCTGCTCTGAAACAGTCACACTGTTTCTCCAGGTATGTCTCCAGTAGCCACCTGAGAATCTTAGCAAGCACATACCTACAACCAACAAAATTCTGCAGAAGAATCTGGGATAGTCTTGACAAATATCTTAACAGATAAAATAGTCAAATCAAACAGTGTTGATTCATAAACAGTGGCTGAATGCATACTGATGTTCAGGTTAAGCATTTCTCAAGTATAGGTTAAAAAGTTTACAAAACTTTACCTCCAGCATCTGGAATGAAAAGGCTTGAAGCCACCTTAAGAACCCATCTAGTCTCTCCCCTACCCAAAGCAGATTCATACCAATGCCATTCCTGACAGAAATTTGTCTAGTTTTGTTCATACAGGCCTCTAGCGATGGATATCCTAGGAGCACTAGAATTTCAGCACTCCTCAGAGGCATGATAATAAGAATATTATAACTCTGGTCTTTTGCCCTGTAAATATTCACAGAAGAGTACCAAAAGATCCATTTCATGTCCTAAAATGAATGGTTGTTTATGTAGCTTCAGTATAAACTACAAAAAGCAGGGGTGCCTCTTTACTGTATTCTAGATTAGAGGGTTTTGATTGACATCACTGGTCACATAGAAAGGAGCCCAGGCTTAAAAAACAGCCCCCACAAGCTAGCTCTAAGCCAGCCTTCTCCACACTGAGTC